GATTGCCTTAATATAGTAGTATTACAAGCTTTATAAGCAAAGATGGATTATGGCTGTCCTAAACAACAATGAGAAGATACAAGAAAACAACACCAAGTGAATTATTAAATTATATTTATCATTATAGGCTTGTAGAGATTATTAAGTTTATGATTGAGATCATGAACCACTTTACGTTAGACCGCCATTGAAAACCTGGAAGCACTGGACGGCCGTTTCGTCCTATTGTGTGACTCCTCAGCAGTGCACGAGTGGGATCAAGAATGGGCACTTCTGAGGAGTCCCATGCTAGGGTGAAACGGCCATCCAGTGCTTCTAGGCTTTCAATGGTGGTTTAACATTAATCGGTTCATGCCTGTATGTTCAGCTTCAAAAAATTCGTCAGTTTTCTTTTAAAAAATTGTAATTCATTACTGAGAACAATAAATTTTTTTCTAATAACCATAAGTAAATATTAAAAAAAAAATTTTTATCACTTACTGTAGATTATTTTTATTAACGTAAATACAACGTTCCAATTTACTTTGTTCATTTGTTGCCATGGTAACATCAACGGATAATTATAATTTTTAAAAAAAAGAACAAACTGAAATTGAATAAAAACTTATGGCCAGTAAACTGGGTCATTTTAATAAAATGAGATACATGTGAATTCAATTAATCATTTTATTATCTTTTTCTGTCTTTGTCCTCTTTTTTTTAAAAAATATCTTAGGCTCAATCAGTAATAGAGAGAAAGAAGTGGCTAAAGCTTTTATCCAAAATAGATAATTGATTTTAGACCTTATTATAGTCTCGATGAGACTATAATTTATGGACGAACCAATCATACATAAGGTAATAAATCTGGGGTTTGGCGCGAAGTTTAATCTATTCATTTAATTCGATAGCGTTTTGGTATTTTAGTTGATAAACACCCCGAATCTAATTCCTAGCTCTAACTATTAACTATAAATCATAATTCTAATTCCTCACACTGCTTTATAACCCTCATTTAGTCCTAGTTAATAAGTGGACATCCTACAACAAATGGGACTATTAAGAGCTTCTTTTATTTGTGATTATGGTAATCAAATGACTTGTGAACTTTGTGCAGACTACCGTGATGATGTAGTCTTTCGATATAATATGTGTTGGAGGAGGACGTCTGTTAGAATAGGATTTTTCGTTCAATCCAAATTGAGAATAAGACAAATCATGACAATTGTTACGAACTGGATAACAAAAGCATCAGTAACAATGGCTTCAGCCGGGTATTACACTATATGCGGACGACTGCAGAGCGCACAGATGCTTTCATAGACTTGGTTATGTGCATCGTGTCGTTATTCTTAAGCAACATTTTGTGGACACAAGGACAGGAGTGCAAACAAACAATATTGAAGCTATGTGGTAGAGGCTGAAAGAGTTTTTACAACCTTATCACAGCTCCAGATGCCTACTAGTATGGAGTCATATGGATGATTTCCTGTACCGTTTGCACTACGATTTTAAAACCTCTGAACCTCTTTCTAACCTTGACAAGTTTTTGAACCATGTAAAAGAAGTGTATCCGGTTTAATTCTTTAGTTTTATATAGTATATTTTTACTCTATGCTGTTTTCTGATTGGCTGATACTCCTCAAAGTCATTTGAGGTTCGCTTAATGGTCGTCCATAAATTATAGTCTTGTAGATGGTCGCTTCTTCTATCATATTCAACGTATTTCAATTTATGAATGAAATTATCAATTTTCAGAGGTTTCAAAGATGTCCGAACAAATTCTTCATTAAAAGCACTATGAAACTACTTATGAATGTTGTGTTCTGTTAGTTGTTAATGAAGTTGTGACTCAGTTTTTTATTGAATCTAATAATATATTTTATTTACCTCAGTTCAATACATTTATAAAATCATTGTAGATCATGTCTGACAGATTGTATTCAAATGTAAAGTGACAATCAGTATATAACCCGTTTAATCAAAAGTAAAGAACACTTGTTGGGTGTTGATCATTCACTTTTTTCAGAAATTAGGAAGATAATAGACGATATAATTTTATAGTTTATCTACGCTTATAGATTATAAAATTATGTTTTACGCCTTTTTCGTGATTTCATACTGATTCTAGATTCATTCTACGTAGTATAAACTGACAATTAGTTAAATTTAAGGAAATAAAATGACTTAAATCATTGATTACAATATTTTTTTAAAGGTATATGGCAATCAGCGACAGCCCATTGTTGGAGAAAACAAACCAGCTTCCAACTGAAGGGGTAATTAGGAAAAGACGTTGGAAGTGGATAGGACATACATCATGGAAATCATCAAACTGCATCACGAGGCAATCCGTAACTTGGAATCCTGAAGGGAAATGGAAAAGAGGAAGATCAAGGAACACACTGCGTTGGGAATTGGAGGCAGACATGAAAAAGATAAATAGCAACTGGAAAGAACTGGAAAGGACTACCCAGGACACGGTTGGATTCAGAGTGCTGGTGGGCGGCCTATACTCCTCCACGAGGAGTAACAGGCGTAAGGAAGTAAATGAATGTAGCCAGAGATCAGCAAGCAAACAACTGATGAAGCTTCTATATATCTGTACGAAAATCATCAAATTAATGATTAGCTCACCTGACCTTTAGAGAAACTGATGAATAAATATTGACAAATTAGGATCAATAACAGTTTGGAAGAACTTTTAGTGTTTAGTAATAAAACGGTTTGTAGCTTACCAAAAAAAATCCATTTCTAAAAATGTTTATTTCCCTGCGAATGTTTTCGATTCGTAACACTCATGTATATTTGCATGATAAATGAAGGTCTTAGTCATAGTTTAATCAGAATTAAACATCAAGTTACAGACTTAACTTATTCATGACTGTACTATGAAACTTACTAGATGTTGAGGTCACCTCAATCCTAGGGATGACACAATATCTAACACTTCTGATTAATAAAGAAAACTATGAAGCAAGCTATTTAATGGTAGTTCATAGTTTAATTTTGAATTATCGGGTCCCCTGTTAATTTTGATATACTACTATTTAGGCTTATCACTGAACGTTGTTTCAACTTTTAGTCGATCAACATAGTTAGCTACTTTTAAAAGTCATTTACGACTGGTTCTTATTATTCATAGTTAATCTGTTCACTGGCAATTCATCAATAATATATGCTACTTTAACTGAAAGTTAGCAAATCATTTGATTATAATGTGGATCTCCTTTGCAGTTGAAGTAGTTTGAACATGTAGCATGTACTCTCAACGACTAACTATCAGCTGATATAGGACCAAACCAAAATGTGCCGTCAATAAATGAAGTCATTAACTGTGAATTTGAACTATTTTATGCTGATATGGTGCAACTAATTAGACAGGCAACTCTAAAAACACCAGAGAATTTCTAGAAGCTTAGCACTCAAGTCAATCAGCAATTGAAATCGATCCAATTTATCAAGCGATCAGGAAAATCATGGACAAACATAAGACCAAAAACCAAACCGATGGCAGATACAACCAAAATAAAGAAGTAAACAATGATAAGTTTAAAGTCAACAAAAACCAATCAACATCAAGGTCTACAGGACAAGTTTTGAACTAAATGTAGAGAAATTCGAATACTTCACTTCTACTTGAAGTTTGTTCTGATGATGTTAATCAGAAGAATGATGAAAACTTCACAACCAAACCATCTAGATTTAAAAGAACAAAACTCCATCAAAATCATCCACTTAAGCTGCAAATCTTCTCCACCGATGTAAATATATACCAAACTCTACATTGATTAAGATTGACTGACTTTAACTTATAATTTACATATGTGAAATCATCAACTCAATATACATTTTGATTTTTCCATAGTTGAATGAAAAGTTATTTATGACTTCATTTATTTAACTTTCTACTTGATTTCAATTACCTGTACATGAAAAAAAAGTACTTATTTTATGACCATTCTCAGAACTTTTCGAAAATATTCGCATAGAAACAAACATCGTAAAATTACGTTTTTTAAAAAAAAGAAAAAAACAATATTAACCAATCATATTTGATAATGATAATTACGTAACAACAGTTGAGTATTTTCAGTGTACAATCTGCCTGGTTACAAGAAACTGAAGAAAACCTTGTTTTTTTTTAAAAAAAAATAAAAAAACAAACAATTTACAACATAATCCATGTAAAATCACTATCGAATTGGTGTATTAAAAATGAAGAAAAGAAAAAGATCATCATAGGAATATTTCATATTGTTGTAATTGTAACTGTTTTGTATTCCTGTCTCTCTTTGTTGTGTATTTACTCTAAATATTGTATATTTATGTATTCACTTGTTATATATGAATGTATACATACATGGATGTGTACATACTTGTACATAATCAACCACCGAGTTATTTATTGAGATCAAGAGACATTTACATAAATATAGATAGATAGATACAAAGTACAGAAAAGATCAAAATGCATTTATCGGATCTTTTCTTATGTTCTTTTGTCCTTTCTTAACATCAAATTAGATTAATAAAACCAAAGAAAAAAATTTAATATAAATGAGTACAAATGTAATTGATTTCTTTTTTTTTTCATATTAATCTCCATGATCTCAAATGAGTCTATTTTAATTTATATTCACAGTGAATAATATTTGTAATTGTTTCTTTATTTTTTCCAGGAAAAGAAGAAGATCAAAGAACACATTGTAGAGGGAATTGGAAATAAATATGAAAAGGATGAATAACAACTGGAAAGGATTGCCCAGGACAGGGTTGGATGGAGAGTGCTGGTGTATGGCATATGCACCTCCACGAGGAGTAACAGGCGTAAGTAAGTTCTTTCTTTACTAATAATAATAAATCAATGAATGAATCACACTATTCATCCATGATGTTCAAGGTAAATAATGGTAGTTTTTAACATCTCTCGTGAGGTTTTAAGTCCAAAGATTAAGGGAGCTAGAATTTTGTGAAAAGAACTATGCAAAAAGAAAGGTAACACTTCAAGGCGAATTCATTTAGTCCCAAAGTATACAAAATCCTGAAAAAGTATAAATATTTCATTAAGAAAAAAGAACAATACAAAAAGAAAGTGTCAATATAAATAAGAGTAACTGAAATCATATAAATCAGTAGTATATAAATGAATCTTGAAATTTTAACATTTTCTATCAATCAGACGATAAAATCAATAAAACATTGATAAATGTAACTTACTTTAAATATGTCTTTTGAATAAGGAACATGTTAAATAAGAAGTGATTAATAGTGATTAAATAATCTCATAGTGAATAAGTAACACATTTATGAGTGAGGTATAAAATAGAGTTCAAGAATAAGAATGACAATATAATAGCAGTATAATAAACTGGGAAGGTTACACCGAATATATATATATATATAATCAGTTTAAATGGTCTTATTAAGCCGATCAAATTGGACTTGCTATTAAGTTAAACTGTCACTATATTTCAATGGTCAAGAGCTATAAACATTCTCGCTTAACAAACGTTAAATAGTAATTCGATATGAATTAAACCGTTTGAGTTATTCTCTTTAGTTTATCATGTGTATAATATAAAAATTTATCGAATACATCTATCCGTTTCCATGTCAACAAACTGAGCTAATGTGCTAAATAGAAATTTGAACAACTACTTTTGTTGCACTAAACATCAACATATCATTAACTGATATCTAATATACTATTTAGTACATTAAGGTTGGTTACAAATAATCACCTTTTCTACTCTGCTTCACTTTTACTCAACTCCATTATTCATCTTTCATTTATTAAGTAAAGATTTTCAAAAATTATAATTATCTTATTCACATTCATCTTTCAAATACTTCTGTAATCATAATTTCATAATTATTAATGTAAATATCTTCAAATTTATAACACGTATCACATGTACAAAGAAGAACAACTATTTCTTCATCACATGAAAGTTCCTAGAAGCGCGCATCCACGATCTTGTTGATAGATCGAACCAGTGATCTTCAGGTTCTGTAATGACTACTGAACTAGCAATGGATGGTTTGAAGTTAAAGATTAGAAATATTAATCAAAGATTAATAACTCACCATGAGACTTAAAGCTCAAGTATTCAATACCTAATGAGGTTGTGGATATTAGTTGCTGAAGAGTTCTATGCAAGAGTGAAACAATTATCAAATACTTTCTGGCATTTAATAGTTGTCCAAAGTTTATTCATAATATAAACTGTAAAATTCTATTATCTTCACATACCTCTTATTATTGATAAAATTTGTTAAGTTCTCAACAGAAAAGATTATTAAGCTTTTAAACTACAACTGCCACAATCTAAGCATTTCAAAGCTATATCTTGTTCGTTTATAAATTATGGTTAAAAACAGTATTACTATTAAATATCAAAACGATTCACAAGTTATTTATGGCTGGAACAATGTGAACACATGCAACTAAGAAATATAATTAGCTTTAGTGAATTGATGGCAGAGAAGTTAGAGAAAAATATCCGTTTTTTTAACTAATATTCATATGTTTGACTCTTTCATTGACTATACTAATTTAACCATCTAAGTAGTATTACTAACTTTTTGATGGAGTTTTGTTGTCTGAGCTGGATGGTTTGGTTGTAGAGCTTTCATCATTCTTCTGAACAACATCATCAGAACAAACTTCAAGTAGAAGTGAAGTATTCGAATTTCTTTACATATGGCTCACGGCTTGTCCTATAGATCTCGATGTTGATATAAGCAAAATAAACAAGTAGAGTTTAAGGTCAACAAGAACCAATCACCATCAAAGTCTACATGACAAGCTGTGAATTACATGTGGTCACTTCAGTATTACTAGCTCTTAGAAACAAATAATGCTACCCAAAATTATTTACATATATCTGTTTCTGATATCTAACTTACATAAAATTAACTTTCTAGTTAAAAGTACCATATAAATCATTCACATGTATTCTGGTCAACGTAAGAATTACTTATACACAAGTAATTATATGGCTGATGAAGATTCATGTTCTATGTGTAGGCTGTCTCTTTTTGACCATAGTTTAATATAAGTTGGGGAATTAATCCCAAGAAACTGTAGAACATCCGAATATTAAATTTATTCATGGTTTTCAAATGATTTATCTTAGAATGATTTGAGAGTAGTAAAGCGACTAAATAAAACACAATGGTTATGTGACGTGTGCTAATTATATCGACATAAGTAGTATAAAACGCTAGCAAGGAATAGAATGACTGGCAACAGAAGGTCGGGAAGATTGAGAAGGAAAGAACGGAAACAGAAAGAGATTGGTATGGAAATAAAAGAACAGTAAAGCCTGAGACGAATGATTGACATTTGCAAAGAAACAGTCAAGTTTAAGACAACTGATTTATATTTTGCAAATTAATTGTTTACTGTATAGTTCTCATATTTTACTAAGAGATTCTGTAATTTCATGTACAAATACATTCGATATTCTCTATTTGTGTTCTCGTTCTTTACAGTTATATTAAGTATCTGGATAATATATCTTTTAGAATGACTTAAACTACCGACTGATTGCAACTAGGGGACAATTGAAAAACCGAGAACAATAAACAAATTTATCATTCTAGAACTAAGAAGTTCATATTGTTCGGATATCTTGACAAACTTAATATCTTTATCCCAATAAGATAAGATATAATAATGCAAACTTTCAAGTTTAACTGATTTTAGAGTAAGTAAACTGATATTAGAAGTTATTTACATAATATATCAGTTTCATATTATTTAAAACCCATTTATTAGATATACCTCTATTTCATCATTGTTATTCATTTACATTAGAATTTGAACCGGAATGTCTTTGATTTTAAACACTAAAACTTTGTCGATTGAGTAGAGAAAGCTAATAACTTGTCAAGATATAATGAAGCTTACATCAAGATTGATAAGAGTTTGAGTTAGACGTCCGTTTATTACTTTTTTTTGGAATCCATTCTTATGTAATGAACAGAATTTGAAGGTAATTTCGAAGACTTACTGAAATAGAATTTGAATCAGTAATCAGTTTATCTTGCCTTTATTCTTAATAAGTAATATATATATATATATATACTTCGGAATTGAATAAAACATTACGAATCATGCTTAAATCTAAATAAGATCAGTATCATTGTATTCATTGACAAAGACCAAACTAATCTTTATTGAATAGTAAAATAGTCACCTATGGGATTATTTGTCTGTTTTGTTGTTTTCGTTTTCGTTTTTTTTTTGTTTTTTGAGAAGAGAAGAGAATAAAACATTGAAGGGTGTGTTAACTAAATTAAACAGTAAATAGTATAATATTTATTTCACAGAAAATCTACTTTACTTTTGTCAAACTAACAAGTTAAAATCTTTGAATCTTTGAATAACAATTTGGGTAGATACCCGTTAATTTAGTTCTAATTTAAATAATAAAACTAAACATAAACTATTTCTGTGTCAATTACAATCATTATGATTCATTAATAATATTTGAGTAGTAATAATAATAGTAATCATAATCTTAGTAATAAAACAAACAAACAGAAAAGTTGATCGTTGAACATTATTTCAATCCAATCTTTCATTGATCTTTCAATGATCTAATGATTAATCGCTTGCACGCGAGACTGATAGATCCTGGTTTCGAATCTTGCGAGGCGAGGTTGTGGATGAGCACCAGTGCTTCTAGGTTTTCTATGATGGTCTAGCTTAGATTGACTCATGATCTCAGCTATTGAACTTACTATCATATCCACAAAACCCCTTCTGGAATATATATATATTCGCCATAACAATTGTAATAGCTCTCTTAATTGGAAACAAAGTTGACAGTCTATAACAAGTTGCATAGAATATTTACACTAATGATGACAATCAATTTACAATTATTTACTTTTAAAAGAAGTAAATAATAAATTTTCTCAATTTTTTTTCGAAAAATAGGCGGGAACTTATGTTTAAAACAACAAAACAGAAGATAATAAACAAATGATTCATATTCTAAAAATATTTTGTTATAAGAAGAGTTTTGTCTAGTGACATAACATTAATGTACATTAAAATTGTATTTATTGTTTACAACATTGACTCATTTTATTTAGACAATCATCGAAAACTGGGAAATATAAGACAATGATTTGATCCTAGTATATAAATAGTTGATTTTTAGACCAATGGGTTAATATTCAGTGATTTACATTTTTGAATTCTGTTAGTTAATTGGAATGCCCTCAAATGCCCTGGTATGGCCGAGGCTGGGGAGAGTCAGCTCTACCTCTCGAAATGCTCTCACATGGTCACGCGTATACAGCCACTACCACGGAAGTCATACTCACCGACTTCTGTTAGCGAGGTTGTTGTTTACGAAATTCAGAGGACGAAAAGCGAATGTCTAGAGCATTAACCGGGTTGGTGGACACGGAGAGTCAACCTAGGGACTTGGAAAACCCTGATTTAAAACTAATAGTGCACATGTTATCCAGTATCCTCAAGGAACAAGTGGAGTATGAACCAATTATTGATCACCGACGTCCCTAGGTCAATTCAATATCGTTCAAAGGTCGTCCATAAATTATAGTCTCACCAAATAATGAATGAGCATGTAAACCATTGTGAATAGAAATAGTACACAGAGCAAGAACAGAATTTTGATAGTTATGTCCCTGTTTCATTGACGAATAAATAATTTAAAAAGCTCGTCTAATCTAGTTGTTTATATTATTAAACAACTTGTGATTATGTTTAATGTTTTATACCAGTATATTAGTTTTACCAAAAAGGGAACTGAGTCATTTTTTTCTTATTTTGAGAGCTTGAGCAAATGATACGGTCTCATGATCAGTTACTGAGTGAATCACATCGTATCATTTAATTTAGTAATCATTTTAAAAACCTAAAACATGCTGATTATACCATACTCAAGGCTTCCTTTGATAACAAAGAATATTTATGGAATTTATAAAATAGGAACTGAAGCAAGAACTCATCAATGATATTATTTTAAAACAAAATGTAGAATATATATTAATCAAAAATGGATAGTGGCTGCCAGTGGAATACAAAACGCGCGTTTCGTTCAATTCGGGACTCGTCAGCCGAATGTACTTGCACCCCAGAGTTGATGTTCATTCTGGGACTCGAACCTAGTACTATTCGCTTTGAAAGCCATCACGTTATCCACTTAGCTACTGAGTTCTGGTAGTCACCTGCTTGTACATTGAG